ACTTTCTTTACTCATTCACCTGGAAAACTCCTACGCCTATTTCCAGACACAAGTCAAATGTTATCTTTCCTGTGTAGCCATTTCCAGCCACTTCGCAGGAATAATGTGGTCTCTTCTCTGCACTTCCACAGCTCATTTCTCATACTCTCAACACAAACTATTGTAACTATTTGTTCACTTGTGTATCTTCTCCACTAGATCTCCACTGGATTCGCTAGAGCACTTTTAGAGGAATATTGTTCATTTTTGTTTCTATCCTCAGCATTTGGCACAGGTCATAGAACATAATGAAGCTCCAACAAATGTTAAATGAAATAATGAATGTATTTTTTAAAGTTCCTAGAAGCAAATATGGATTTTAGATTTTTATAAGATCTTGCATCACAAAAAAAAGCATTGAGGATCTTTGCCCTTCTGGTTTTATTTTTACAAGCTAGCCTTCCTTTAAAGCTTTAAAAAAAAGAGAGAGAAAAAAGAAACTGTCCTGGTTCTCAGCATGACCACATCAGAGAATGCCTTAGGGAGGAAGAGAATAAAGGGAAGCCATTTAGAAAGACTATGTTTGATCTCTGGTTAAACTTCCTTTAAAGTAATAATTCCATGATCATGCATTATAAAAAGTTTCCCCATAGTACCAAAAAGTTCTAATCTATGTCTTAAGTGAAAATATATACCCTAAGCTACCTGAAACTGAAAACTATTTTAGCTTCAGTAGAACTTTTCTGCTTCTATTTTTTGGTATGGTTTTGGTATAAAGAAAATCATACTTAAAAGGGAAAAAATATATAAAAGGCCAGAGGTGGAAGAGGACTGGCTACCTAGGAAACGCCAGAAAGAGATGGTGCTGAGTCCCCAGCCTGAACTTTATCAGGAGTTTTCTCCTTGTACAGGGCTGGGCTGAGTGAGTGGGAATTACCTAACCCTAGAGAGAAGGTGAAAGGATGATGAAAGAGGCATGCAAGAGGAAAGCTTGGCTGTTTAGTAAGATCACAGAAGCCCACAGGAAGGGGCAGGGCACAGTGGCTCACACCTGCAATCTCAGCACTTTGGGAGTTCCAAGGTAAGGAAAAGTTTAGAAAATAACTGGGAGTGGTGGTGCCAGCCTGTAGGCCTAGCTACTTGAGAGGCTGAGGCAAGAGAACTGCTTTAGCCTAGGAGTTCAAGGCTGCAGTGAACTAGGACCGCACCACTGTGCTCCAGCCTGGGGGACAGAGCCAGACTCTGATCCCCA